GCGCCCCTGCACCCCCCCCCCCCCCCCCCCCCCCAGACACACACCCACCCACCCCTGCTGCCAGCCATGGTGCAGTTTGTGGTATAGGACAGGTAGGTAGCTGCCTTAGAACCCCCACTGCTCACCTGAGCCCCTTGCAGCAACAAGACCCACTGCCTGACATTCCACTGCACTGTACTGGGTCAGACCAAAGGTCCATCTAGCCCAGTATCCTGTCTTCCAACAGTGGCCAATGCCAGGTGCCTCAGAGGAAGTGCATAGAACAGGTAATCCTCACATGATCCCTCTCCTGTCATCCATTTCCAGCCTCTGACAAACAGAGGCGAGGGACACCATTCCTTACCCATCCTGGCTAATAGCCATTGATGGACCTAACCTCCATGACGTGTTGTGACCCATAGTTTGAAAACCACTGAACTAGAGCATCTGGCTTTGAGAGGATAGTGGTAGATGAGTTATTACAGAAACTTGGTGAAATGAAGCTAATCCATGGCACCAGAGTATGAATTATAGAGGAATGATTGGAGGTCATGTGAATGGGGGGTGGCACTACATGTTAAAAAAAGGTCAAATTCTTAAATGAATCCAACTAGCCTAAAATTTCTGTGGGTAGTAATTCCATGCTTGAATAAGAAGAGGAAAGCTGTAGGAATATTTTACTGACAAGGCGTGTGATGGTGATTGTGAAAGGGTTAATGGAGGTTACAAAGGCTACACCAGAAATCTCAGTCAAAGGGCAATTTCAACTACAGGCAGTCCCCAAGTTACGCGGATCCGACTTACGTTGGATCCGCAGTTACGAACGGGGATTTCTCGCCCTGGAGAACTGGAGCAGCGGGACACCTGGTCCCACCGCCCGCCTTCTCCGGGGCGAGAAAAGCTGCTCCCCGTCTCCCTGGTTTGCTGGCAGAGCCAGCAGACCAGGGAGATGGGAGCAAAGCGGGGGAGCACCGGGAGCCGGACCCGCGGCCGCTTCCAGATCAGCTGGAAGCACCGCAGGTCGGGCCGGGTCCTGCGCGGCTTTGCTCAGTGTCTCCCTGGTCTGCAGACCAGGGAGACGCTGAGCAAAGCGGCGGAGGACCCGGGGCCGGACCCGCGGCCGCTTCCAGATCAGCTCCCGCAGCAGACCAGGGAGACGGGGAACAGCTTTTCTCACCCCGGAGGAGGCGGGCGGCGGGGGGCGGGGGTTCACCGCTCCAGTACTCCCGGGCGAGAAAATCCCCGTTCGTAACTGCGGATCCGCACT